TTTTTTTTTACAATATGGATTTAATATTTTTTATGATTTGATAATATAAACAAATCTATACTTAACTTTGACAAATAAAACAAATAAATACTTTAGTAAGTATTTAATGTATATACTAAATAGGAATATATTTGGTATAATCAAATACCAAATATAATCAAATAAGTCAAAGTGTACATTTTTATTTGGTATTTAATTTTTTTATTATTAAAATCTTTTTATTATACTTACCTTTTTAAAATAAAATAAATAAATAAATCAATTAAATAAATAAAATATTATAATACCAAAATAGTAATGACATTTAATGCAGTTGACTTTTCTGGATAATAAATGTAGTAAATAGAATATCCTTTTATATAATATAATACGGAAATAGTAATACAATAAATGTTGTTGACTTTTCTGGCTACTTAATTTGGTAAATAGTACCCCCTTTAATATAAGTATAGATATATATTTTTTGAAATTTATAAATCAAGGTATGCTAAGCGTCGAATTGTTAAGTGTACAAAATTCCTTTTTACTCTAACAACTTAAGAACACTTAAACTTTGAAATCTTTTGTACTCAATATTTCACATGGACACAGCATAATTATCAGTATCATTTAAATATTTATTTTTTATATACTATTAAACTTATAATATCTAGAGTACTTTTAAGTTTAGACAATTTTTCTACACAAGCTATCTATATATACATATACACATAAAGACACACACACACACACACATGTAATACACACACATATATAAAGATGTTAAACATAATTATATTCAGAAGAAAATTTCAGATACTTATACATAGGTTATATAATATTTTAGGTATTTTTAAAATTAAACTCACATTTTTTATGTTCTTTTATATAAGAAAATTTTATATCGTTTACAATAAATTAATATAAGGTAAATTATATTAAATGCTAACTCCACATCTTTAATATTTAGTAATTATTTAATATTACTTCTCCACTATCTTTATTTTATAATTATTAGTAAATATTATCTACATTCATCTTTAATTTATAATTACTACTCCCTCCTTCAATTTATATTCTTAATTGCACAATAATTAAGAATTTTTTTTTGCCAATAATAACCCTCATTAATGAGAATAAAGATTAATATTTTGAGAAAAGATGAAGAGTGAATATGAAAAGATGTAGTGCATTATTAGCAAGATGAGGGTAATAATGAAAAAATATGTACAAAAGATCCAAACGTCATTTATTTGGTTAATTGTTGATAAAACCAAAATGACATTTTAAAAAAAAAAAGAAAAAGGTAGTATTTAATATTGTTTACCCGTACCTCTCGCACAGGCTACGCACTAGTTATTAAATATCCAAATTGACAATGTTGCTATAAAATCAACTGGTTGGTTTCTAATTGGGTGTTGGTTTCTAGTTGGTTTTATAGCAACATTGTCCAAATTGATTACACCACAAGTAACCAAGATACACAATTAGTGGTAACCACTAGTACGCTTTTAGAAGCGCGACTTTTGGATGTCGATATATATTATCATTACACGTCTCATCTTCATCTTCATATTCATCGTGGCCTAAACCTAGGGTTTGCTCCAATTCCTTCGTATCTTTAATTCCAATTCCTTCGTTTCTTTAATCCGAAGTGAACATATATGCAGCCGCCGAACATAATCCTGCGCCCGCCGTTTGTTATATAATATCTTTCCTTTCGCGAACTGATTCATGGTTTGGGAATTATCAATTATGATTATCCCCGTCGATTTTCAATTCTCATCGTCACATGGTATGAAGCTGAGCTATAATCTTCGAGTTTTTGGACCTGGTTTGAATCCTTTTGCCCCCTACAACATGGCCAATCATTCCTCTCGCTAAATTTTATTCTCTTTTTTTCTTTTTCGAGCCTTCCTATTCAGATAATGTAAAAGGATTTCACATTAGCGAAGCGATTGTCAACTGATTTATGTGTCAAGTTTTCTGTCCTGAATTCTGAGGCTATCGTTACAACAAAATATTGAAGGTTTTTGTTTTGATTTGAAGGCCTTCGTTTGTTTTTCGTTTTAATCGTTAGTGTTCTTCCTTTTACGAAGAAAAGGGATCTTCAAGATTGGAACCTTATCAGCTTCAGTTTTGGGTTGTCTTTTTCATCTTCTGTAAAACTGCTAAGTATGTGAGACGGTCTTTAGTCTTGACTTTGGCCTATTTTTAGAATCAAAGGGTTGGGATTTGAAGTCTCTAGGTTTGTTACGCATAGCAAACTATTTGTCTTTGTATATCAAAAGACAGAAGAACATTTATTCATATATCTACACATACATATCCTTCAATGCCGGAGTTCGAGATTGAATCTGTTAGGAGGAGCCGAAGGGTGTTTAGATCGGGAGATGATAGGGATGATCGAGGCTGGACCTTGCTCCACATCCATGCTAGGAAAGGTGACCTCAGAGTGGTAATTATACTCTCCTTCCTAGGTTTTAACTGTATGTTGTTCTATTGACTTGACTATTGAACTGATGTCATTTTTTCTGTCTGCTTTTGTTAGGTTCCAGTGCTCTAATTTGTCGCAACCTATGTTCATAATATGCTGTATTCTGAACATATACTTTATGAAAGGAATCGATGTTGTTTCATTCTGATACTGGATTCTTTATCACAATTCGAGCAAAAAAATTGGTGTTGCATGCACATCTAGGACGTGTCAACTTTCTTTTAGTGTAGCATAATATCATATTTAGGATTTTTATGTATGTGTATTACAGTCTGCTTGTTTATAAACTCCATCAGAGTTATGAAAGCCTCATTTCTCCAATCATGGCAGCTTTTCCATGATGTTGAACTATAATTTTGCTTGCGTGAAACCATAATGTAGGGTCAGAGATAATGTTCGTTTTCTTGTTGCCTTGTCAGTAAAAATGAGTCCGAGTGCTGCAACGTGGCTTATTTGGAATGGGCTTTAGCTGCAACATGCAATTTTTGGAAGGACTTTTGCATTTTCTTTCTCTTTTTTCATCCGTTTGATTTGGAATCTTCGCTTTTAAATCCTTTCTTAGAATTGTCTTGTTCTTACCTCAAGTTTCATTTTCTTTTTTTGTGATACATATATTTCTCTCTTTATTTTAACACCCTTTTAGGTGAGACGGCTTCTCGATGAAGGAATGGATGCTAATGTGGCTGCCTGGGGCCCGAAGTCCCACGGTGTGACCCCTCTCCATCTTGCTGCTAAAGGTGGCCACATTAAAGTTATGGATGAACTGCTCGAGCGTGGGGCCAACATCGATGCCAGAACTAAGGGTGCATGCGGCTGTAAGTAGCTTTGCTTAAACTCAAATAAGAAACAATTAAAATAACATATTCTTTTAATATCAATTCGTTTTCGATTTCACTTGGTACAGGGACCCCACTTCACAATGCAGCTAAAGAAAGAAAGAAGAAAGCAATAAAATTCTTAGTCGAAAACGGGGCATTTTTGCCGGACAACATCGATGACTCAAGGTTCAACCCGCCCATGCACTACTGTCCCGGCCTCGAGTGGGCTTATGAAGAAATGAAGCGTTTGCAGGACATATCTTCTTCATGTGAGACATCCTGCAGCTCAGATAACTGAGGCGTATTACGTATGTACCCTCAGAAAAGTGATGTTTTGTCTCGATGCTTTTTTGAGTGTTCTGGAGGAAGATGAGAGATCTGGTACTTCTGATGGGTGATGGCTTTGATCTTCAGCTCTGTTCCCTGGTTGCTCTGTGGTGACTGATATACAGAGTGTAGTTCATGACAATGATAGTAGTGTGTGACCTTGGATAAAGTGTGTTTGTTTTTTCTTGTGTTTGTCTTCTTGAACAAGTATCTTTGTTTGCTTGTGTCGTTTCAATCTTTTTCAATCTTTTTAGTGATGATCGGTGTGTGGGGATGATTTCTCATTTAAGAACAGACTATGTTGTGGAGTGTGCTGTGGTGATTAAACTGGTCAATAAATGTGACTCTTTCTCTCAGAATATGTACAGCCTGAGCTATTTTTGTCAATTCTTCTTAGAGATTGTTTTCTTTTTTAAATGTTAAGCTACACTTTTGAAATGAGCCCCAGCGAAAATGCCATTGTTAGCTGACCGGCAACCACAGCTATTTTTGTCAATTCTTCTTAGAGGTTGTTTATTTAAATGTTAAAGCTACACTTTTGAAACGAGTCCCAGCCAAAATATCATTGTTAGCTAAGGATTTGGTTGAAGATTTGATTTAATGAACTCCCATGTTCTTTTTTTTTTCCTTTTTTCTTTCATCATTTTGGCGATGCCCAACCTTTTTGGAACCGATATTGAAAATGTGGGCTATGCTAAATGTATAATTATAGTTGACAACATTTCTATAATTATAGTTGGACAATATTGACTAGATGCATCAATTCGCATTATTCAAGAAAAAGCTAAAAATGGATAAATAAATAAGCGAAAATTAACCAGGGACATTTGCTAACTTATCTATATAACTATTGTGGTAAAATCAATGAAAATTGGGTTAACATCTCCAAACTTAAACCACTCAAGATTTCAAACACTTAACCTGAGTACGGTTACTATTGAAGGAACACTTTTCCGGCATGAACTCAGTCTGCTGCTCTCAAAAGTCCAAAAGCAACTAATACAACAAGTGCTAAAGTAAATATGTTGCTATGGTACAGTCCGAGTTCAGCAAGTGCTAAATAATTGAAAATTCAATTCAACTCAATTATCCTATTTTTTATAAATATAATTAATTAATACCAATCATTATCACTTATCACATTAACTTTAATCACTATTTCATCCATTCATCCACTTACAGAATTTTAAATACTATCACTTTTTATAATATATCTCTTACTTTCACGTCATATTCACTTTAATCACTACGCTAATCTATTTTATTTAAAATAACTCACTTTAATATCATAAACAGTTTAGGGGTGTATTTAATTGGAAATTCTAAAGACTTTTTAAGATTATTTGTTAAGACCTTTTAAGATTTTTAAAAATCTTGGGTTATTAATTGAGATTTTAAAAAGTCTTACCAAATAATGGAGTATTTAACTTATTATTTGATACTATGATTTGTTAAGATTTTTTTTAAGATTTGATAGAATTTCTAAAGAAAAACCCTTTGTACGAAATTCCACTTCAAATCTCATTTCACATAATTCTTCAAAAATTTTAATTTTAAAATTTTAAAAAGTCTCAAATTTTGATAGTTTTAAAATGTCACTGGAAATCCCAATTAAATACTTTGGTTCCTAAATTGGTATTTGACAAAAAACCCCCAAATCGTGACCTAGCCTCTCAATCGCCGCTGCGTCCGCCTCCCTTCTGCCGGCCGACCGGCAGCCTCTACAGCGGCACTGCTCTACACCGAGGTGGCGGCGAGCTCAAAGTCCGGTCGTCTCACTCTTCGCGGCATGGCGTCTCTCCGTTTCCTGGTGGCCATGGCGCTTCTCGAGGGTGCTCCGACGTCTGTTCGGCAAGTTGCGGCCACTGGCGTTTTCCTCCTCCGTGGTGGGTGAATGGCCTGAGACCGACGCCGTCTAGTTCCCTGGATCTTGCCGCCTCCTGGTGCTGGGGTGTTGGGGTCCGACGGGGGGTGGTCGGCCACCGTCGATGGTGGTCGACTGCCGTCCGGTTTGGTGTTGGGGGGCTAGATCGGTGTTGGGCTCTCGGTGTAGTCCGTGTTGGTTCCGTTGAATGGAGTTCGGGCTCATTTTGGTTCGGATCTATCTAGGCCTTTGAGTGCAGTTTCTAGATCTGGGTCGGGTCGGTTTTCCTTCTTTGGGATCCGTGTCGTTTGGTAGTTCTCGGTTGGTTGTGGGCGGTTGCGGAGGGCTTTGTTCTTTGTTTTTTTTTCCTTTTTGTGTTGTTTGGGCGTGTTGTTCTGGGTAGTTTGTTTTTGTTTGTTTTGTGTTTTAGTTGTTATGTTGTTTTTTCTCTTATTGGGAGCGTGTATTCTCTTATTGGGAGTGTGTATTCTTCTGTTGGGAGCGTGATATTCTCCTGTTGGGAGTTGTATAGTTTGTTGTATTGTGGGTGCGTTAGTGTAGTTGCTTCTAGGCTACATTCATGTACGCCTCCTAGATTCAGCTGTGTGGCTGCTTGGCTATTCTAGCTGTCTGCTAGTTGTAATTAGGTGTTTTTAGTTATAAAAATTTTCTATCGTTTCGAAAAAAAAAAAAGATA